TAAATGAACGACTCGTATGAATTTTTTTTTCTTATAGAGAAATGAAAGAGTAAATCAGTACCGAATATCGAATATCGATTAATACCATAAATCAGTGTCAAAAAATTGTCCAAGTGCAATGACAATTTGTTCTCATTTTTCAGGTACTTACCCCTCTAATCTTATTCAACAAATTAACTCGGATAAACGAACGGTTCGTATTAATTTTTTTTGTCTTATAAAAAAATGAGAAAATAAATTAGTATCGAAAACCGAAGACTGATCAATATCATAAATCAATGTCAAGAAAATTGTCCAAGTGCAATGACAATTTGTTCTCATTTTTCAGGTACTTACCCCTCTAATCTTATTCAACAAATTAACTCGGATAAACGAACGACTCGTATGAATTTTTTTGTCTTATAAAGACTGAAAATTGTCCAAGTGCAATGACAATTTGTTTTCATTTTGCAGGTACTTACCCTACTAATTTATTCAACAAATTAAGTCGGATAAAAGAACGATTCGTATCAATTTTTATTCTCTTATAAAGAAATTAGAGAATCAGTCGGTACCGAAAATTAAAGACCGATCAATATTTAATTTATTCATCAAATTAACGCGGATAAATGAACAATTCGTATGAATTTTTTTTTCTTATAGAGAAGTGAAAGAGTAAATCAGTACCGAAAATCGAATATTGATTAATACCATAAATCAGTGTCAGAAAATTGTCCAAGTGCTATGATAATTTGTCTTTATTTCTCAGGTACTTACCCCTCTAATTTAATCAACAAATTAACTCTATTAAACGAACGATCTGTATCACTTTTCCTTTTCTTATAAAGAAATGAGAGAATAAATCAGTACCGAAAACCGATTAGATCAATATCTAATTTATTCATCAAATTAACGCGGATAAATGAACGAGTCGTATCAGTTTTTTTTTTCTTGTAGAGGAAAGAAAGAGTAAAGCAATATCGAAAATCGAATATCGATCAATACCAGAAATCAGTGTCAGAAGATTGTCCAAGTGCAATGACAATTCGTTCTCATTCCCGAGTCTTTCCCGAGTCGAAATATTAATTCTACATTGATCCTGCAAATTACATCCAATTTGAAAAATCAATGCAGAATATCTAAATGCGCAATAGTGAACAAGCTTTGTCCTACCTGGACGTTACATCTGGCTACTCTCGCAGTCTCGCCCATGATGAGTCTTCAACAGCGACGTTTCCGCAGTTATTCCGCAGTTATTTAATACTCGTTTGTTTCGATAATGTACATGTACTTAATCCTTATATTTTTAATTTAAATGAGCAATTTTTGTTGATTTTGATTATATATATTCGCTTAACAGCGCAAGAAAGAGAAACAAGATAACAACAAGAAACAAGAGAACAAAGATAAAAACGTAAATAGAACTGCCTTTGTTAGAAGTGCGCGTGAGATAAATATATAAGGATTAAATAATCATGTAAGAATTAGAGGAAATGGGAGATGAAAAACACTTTTTATTCTCATCATTCTTAAAGTTCTTTTTTCCTTTTTTCTTCTCTTTTTTTCTTTTCTTTTTTCTAATGAGAATGATGAGAATTGTAGCTCTCAAAAGAGCTGAAGCTGCAAAGACAAGACAACGGTTATGTCTAATAATGCTGTTTCACTAATAGAGATTTTAATTCAAATTCGGTACAATAAGAAAGATAAACAAGAATGAGAAACGGACATTCTAGCAGATTCTAAACGAAAACAGCAATCTGAGCATTATTAGACGAATAAAAATCAACACTTGTAAAATTTATATCAGATTCTAAGATCATTATTCATAGTTTTTTAAATTATGTGCAATTTTTCATTGAGAACATAATTACAAATTTGTATTCATAAACCTTAGCTTTGCCTCAGCAACCCTGCTTGAAGACATTCATATTTTATGAGAAAAGAAAAGTAGAACTCATGTTACGTGAAATTAGGTTAATCGGAGGAATAATCAAATCTCAAGCTATTTTATCATTTTTCAAAATATAAACTATGAATGCTGATCTAATTTCGACTCGGGTATGTCCTTACTTCGAGTAAGGTCCGTTAAAATCAGAAAAATCCTGCGTAATAATAATGACTCGAAGTACCTCGAATACCATACATGATGTATCGCTGTCCACGTCTCTCGGCGCGCTCCAAGTCCTCTCTCCATCCTGACTTGTCGATCCGACGTCCTCCTTCTGGTTACTCCGTCGCAGCACCCCCGGATACTCCATCGTAGCACTGGCGACGACACTGACTCTAGCTCTAACACTCGCGCAAGTAAGATTCGGGGACAAAGAAACGCGTATTAACCGCGATACGACTACTTGCGTCGCGGTATGCGCGTTGTTCGTCGGCCCGAGGCGCAATGTCCTTTCCGCAATCACGGAGTCATGTATAAGCGTACGAAAGCAAACAATCGGGAAGGCACGGTTACCCCCCACCTTGCCAATCAGTGTTGATGCCTGCGTCGTCCGTTAGCTGAAAATGAAAACAACTCGTGTTTTCAAAGCATGCCTGTGAGAGACTCGCTTCAAACTTCACAATACTTATTTACGTCTGTTCCAAGAATCATATTACGCCGCATTCAAACTGTCTATTGACATGACATACACGAGATCTGCGATCGCATCATTGATCTTTCTTTGGACAAGAAAATTCTGAGAGGAACGCTGTTCGAGAATTTTATGTTTCAGGTGCCTTGCAGATTATCGAATCCGATGTAACAGATCAGGGGAAGTATGAATGCGTCGCTATGTACTCCAAGTCAATCACGTTATATATGTGAAACGTACGTACATTTAATATTATATAAAACTTACCTTTTTAAACAAAAAGGTAAAAAAAAGCGCCAAGTACAAGCGCAACACGTATTGTGTTATTTTTAGATGTATGAAACACAAATTATTTTTTTAATTGTATATATGTGTACATAAGTTTTTACAAGTAAAACTTACAACTATAATAAAACTCTGCAATACTTTTCTACTATACAAAAGAAGTGATATATTAGAACAGTAGCGCCAACTGAGAAACCTAACATAACATAACTAAAACTTGTTTAATACATATATGAATAAAATGTTCTTGTAAATTCTCTTTATACATATACGGTATAATGTTTTACTTAAGTTTATATAGTATTATAATAAATAAATTATAAACCTTCATTATAGAATATATTATAATAAAAATGCTGTCATATATGTATTAATCAAGTTTTAGTTCGATATAGTTTTTGGTGCAGCCGCGCCAAGATTTTATGAACAATTGAACTTACGCGTAAGTTGCAAGTGCGTTTTTGCATCGCGCGCTGCGCGCACGATTGTTGAAACCTACGCGTAAGTTAAAAGTGCATAACCTGCGCGGTTATTAAAACTTACGCGTAATTATGTAAGGCACGCACAGCGCGCGATACAAAACGCATTTGCAACTTACGTGTGGGTTTTAATAACCGTGTGTGCAGCAGCTTACGCGCTCTTAATTTACGCGTGGGTTTTAATTACAAAAATATGAATAATTTATCAAATTAACCAAAACTATTGGTTATTATGCATAATAACCGGTTGTTATGCATAGTAACTGGATTTATCACTTTAACATATACAACAACACAATAAATAGATAGACGGACAGAGATTGACGAGAGTAATTGGAGATTCATAAAGTGTCTATGATTATTAGTCGGATGATGTCGGATCGTGAATGCCGAGCGCGAAATTCCGACTCTTATTCCCGGAAAATTCGTCAAACGTCAAACAAAGGGCAAAAAGTGTCGTCGCTCGCGAGTCGATCAACACAATCGGCGCGATGTAAACATTGCGGGCCTCGGCGGCGGTTGAAGCAAGGGAGACTTGCCCTTGGGCATCTTTTCTTTTCTCGAAGGTTCCGGGACAACGAGGGGAATGCGAGGAAGCCTTTCAACTGTATGCGACATTGATTTATTACTTATTGATTACTGAAAATAAAGAAAATTATTCTATCGAAGCATCGGATATTTGTTAGCTTTATGTTAATTAAAGAGGAATGTGTACGATTAGAAAATATGTTAGCAACTAATTGTACAGAATGTCAAAGTTGTTGTAACGCCGTTTTCGGAGAATAATTAAAAGTCATGGTAGCGTTAAAAAGTGGAATTTCATCTCATGCGAATTTTGTCTCGTTCTTATTAAATGTTAGATTATCCGCTGCGGATAATAACTCTTCTACTTTTCATCTAATATTCAATGATAATAAATAACATTTAATTGCATTCGTTTGGCTTTTTTTATTTCGAAAATAAAAAAATATATACCAGGGTGAGTCCCCTCGCTCTTTTTAGACCTTCGGGCATAGTCTGGCATAGAGATAGTAACTATGGTTGCAGCACGGACATAAACCGCCTGAAAGTGGATGTAATACTGACTTCCACCACATGTAGATTTTACCACCAAGACCTAAAAGTGGATGTAGCATCGTAGTTCTCCTCTCAAAATGGATGCAGATGGCGCCCATTTCCAGTGCGAAAAATCGGTGTCGCCGAAAACGCCGTGTTGGCCGCTCTCAGCTTCCTCTCTGCTTTAAGTCTTTAACTATATTGAAATTTATATATTATTGCTTTCTACCAAGAAATATATTGAGTTGAATAAGAAATGACGCTTTTCTAATTTCTTGTATGTCATTTTGATATTGATTTCATAGGATGTATTTCTGTAATAAAAGATATTTGAATAAAGATTATTTAAAACAATTAAAAATATGAAATATTTTTCCCTCTCTATATTGTTGAATTTATGAAAATTTATATTGTCCTCACATGTTCGAAATTCCCTACTGTCATTGTCTGCAATTCCAACGCAGCCAAAAAGAACAAACTTATTCTTCACTGTGATGGATATTGGAAAAGTGGCTTAAGGTTTCTCTCCCGCCAAATCTTCGTTGACAACGTTTAGTATCTGACTCTTTAATTTTATCTGCTTGTTTGTGTACATAGTACCCTTTTGTTATTAATCAAAAACATGGATGCTGCTGCTGCACAGACAGGTCGATTACAAGTGCGTGATGAGATCGGGATTAAATGTCAAAAGTTGTTTCAGGATTTTCTGGAGGAGTAAGTTCTTTCATATTAATTTTTTAATTGCGATTTCTCATGGTATCTTTAATTTTATTTATTTAAATTAAATAGTGAAACGAATAATATATTGTTGGAGTAGAATGTATTTTATATGTTTCATCTTTGTTATAGATTTAAGGAAGATGGAGAGATCAAATACTTAGAGCCAGCTAAAGAACTCATTAGTCCAGAACGTTGTACATTAGAGATATCATTAGAGGATATAGAGACATATAATCAAGTTCTTGCTGCGACTATAATAGAGGAATACTACAGGTTGTATAATTTATTTAAATTAAATAAAGAGTATAATTACTTTACTGATCTATATCATGTACAAAATATTAATTTATTCTACCATAATATTATACCAAAACAGTAAACTGCAGTATGTACTATATATGTTATTAATAAAAATAACTTTTGCTTCCCCAGGATATATCCATTTTTGTGTCAAGCAGTATGCAACTTTGTCAAGGACATAGGAGAGTTGGAAAAAAGTAAGGAATGCTACGTTAGTTTTGTTGATGTATCTGCCAGGCAGAAATTAAGAGATTTGAACACATCACGTTTGGGTACTTTGTCTCGTATATCCGGACAAGTGGTGCGTACACATCCGGTTCATCCAGAGTTGGTTCTTGGTACTTTTATTTGTATGGACTGTAACGCGTGTATTAAAAATGTGGAGCAACAATTTAAGGTAAGACAGATTCACTCTGCACATCATACTATGTAAATCTAATCAAGCTGTTACGATATTAAATACTAATGAACATTGATTTTTTTAGTTCACAAATCCAACAATCTGCTCTAATCCTGTATGTAGCAACAGACGCCGTTTCATGCTAGATGTGGATAACTCGGTGTTTGTGGACTTTCAAAAAGTAAGGATACAAGAAACACAAGCTGAGCTTCCTAGAGGAGCTATACCCCGTTCCATTGAAATTATTCTGAGAGCAGAGATGGTCGAATATGTACAAGCCGGCGACAAGTAAGAAATAAAATGTGCAATATTTAAAGCTTCTTCGGGTCTTGCTTAGAATATCTTCTGGACAAACTTTCTTTTATTCAGGTACGACTTTACTGGGACCCTCATAGTAGTTCCAGACGTGGGGATGTTGTCTCTGCCAAACGTCAAGGCAGAAATCGGACCAAGAAACAGAAATAATGATCAAAGAGAAGGTGTAAGTGGCCTCAAGTCACTCGGTGTCAGAGAATTAACGTACAAAACGGCCTTCCTCGCCTGCAGCGTTACTGCTACGAGTTTAAGAGTAAGTGAAAGCAACGAAAACATGAGGAAGTACATCCTTTTCAAAGAAGAAAGATTTATCTGATTGTTTTCACATTTCTATTGCAGTTTGGAGGTACAGACATGGCAATGGAGGAGATCTCGCAGGAAATGATGAAGAAACAAATGACAGAGGCGGAGTGGAATCGCATATACGAGATGAGTCGAGACAAAAATTTATACGAGAACCTAGTCTCCAGCATGTTTCCTGCGATCCACGGTAACGACGAGATTAAGAAGGGAATTATTCTCATGTTCTTTGGCGGCGTGCCAAAGACCACGGAAGAATGCACGTCTCTGCGGGGGGACATCAACATCTGCATCGTCGGTGATCCCAGCACCGCGAAGTCGCAGTTCCTCAAGTGCGTGGCCGACATTTCACCGCGGGCGGTTTACACATCCGGAAAAGCATCGAGCGCGGCAGGCTTGACGGCCGCGGTAGTGCGAGACGAGGAATCAGCCGACTTTGTCATCGAAGCTGGCGCATTGATGCTTGCGGATCATGGCATTTGTTGCATCGATGAATTCGACAAGATGGATTTGAAGGACCAGGTCGCGATTCACGAAGCTATGGAGCAGCAGACGATCTCGATAGCCAAGGTAACTGGAGATGCTGGGCGTAAACGCCGAAATGGTTGAATGAAATCGTTGACAAATTTTTGCTAACCGGTGTCAAATCATGTCCTTAGGCAGGTGTAAGGGCGACTTTGAATGCTCGGACGTCCATATTAGCGGCGGCAAATCCTATCGGCGGGCGATACGACAGGAGGAAGTCGCTGCAGCAGAATGTACAGTTAACCGCGCCGATCATGTCGAGATTCGACTTGTTCTTCGTCGTGCTGGACGAATGCAACGAAATCGTTGATAGCGGAATCGCTAAAAGAATCATCGACCTGCATTGCGATAATCTGAGTGACATTCATATAGTGTACAAGCAAGAGGACATTATCAGATATATCAATTTTGCTAAGCATTTCAAGCCCGTTTTAAATCAGGTGAGATACACTGGTAAAAATTACAAATTACTTATATGTCATGACAATTTCATTAGATTATGTTATCGAATATCCCCGTAGGAAGCTGCTGAGCTTTTAGTGGACAATTACACGGCTCTTAGACAGAGAACCGGTAGCGGAAGCGGCAAGTGGAGAGTGACGGTGAGACAGTTGGAGAGCATGGTTAGATTGTCGGAGGCGCTGGCGAAACTCGAATGCGTGGACGAAGTGACGGTGAAGCACGTGAGAGAAGCAAAACGATTGTTGCAGAAAAGTATAGTTACGGTGGAACAGCCTGACGTGGATCTCGAAGAAGGCATGGACGACGCGAATAGAGCAATGGATGTCGACGAGGCACCCCCGCTGATGGAAGCTCTTAACGCGTTGGACAATAACGAAGCACCTCCCCCAACTCGTACGTTCGCGCGCGACTTTCCTCGCTTGTTTGTATATCGTGTTCAACTTGTCATTAGTCTCGTTTGACTTTTCAGCCGGTAACGAGCCACCAAAGAAGAAATTTACGATGTCCTTTGAGGTCTACAAAAATTTGTCGAACATGTTGATTCTCTATATGAGGAGCGAAGAGAGTCGTGTCGAAAGCGAAGGTATTTCTTTTATTGCGCAACGATAAACATTGCAGCAGAGATACCAGCAGATACGAATTTTTTTTTTCAATTGTCACACATTTCCGTCTGACAGATGACAATAAGGGTGGAATACGGAAGTCCGAATTGGTTGCGTGGTATCTCGACCAGATACAGGAACAAATAGACTCGGAAGATGAGCTGTTGGAGCGAAAGAACTTCATCGAGAAGGTTATTGATAGATTAATATACAACGTACGTATTAATATCTTCATTTATCATGTAGTCGCGCACTCTTACTTAGTTTTCGCAATTTACAGTGTGCGCAAATGCTTTTTCTTTCAGGATCAAATTATAATACCTCTGTCAACAACCGATCTGAGGAGGAGAGGTACAGAGGATGGCGAGGAAGACGAGGAGGATCCTCTGCTGGTTGTTCATCCTAATTACGTTATAGATGTATAATTTTACGCATATGTATTATCTTAATGTCGCTGTAAAGTACGTTAAATTACGATTAATTAGTATTACGATTAATGGCCATTATAAATTATACATATTACAAATTATACATATGCAATCCTTTGCATCGAAGGATGTTATATTTTCCTATTTCGATATTGTATGTCACCATGTGATTTGTCACCACAGTGATTTAAATGATTTATCATTAATCGTCAGCTAGATTACACTTTTTATATTTAGTCTCTAAGAAAGTAAGAAAGAAATAAAATATGGAGATAAGCATGACTATAACCCTCCTTCGTTTAAAAGCGGCTCCTTGGGGCAAGGATGATAAGCGTCGTAAATGCCTTTATTAAAGTGTAGAATACTCTTGACCCGTTTCAATAGTACGCTAATTACCGTCGCGTAAGTAGCGCTAATTGACACGCATTTTAATGCTCTCGGAGTTGAAACTATCCGGCTGCTGAATAGAACGTTGAATTACGTGACTTCAGTACCGGCTCAGACGTCACTTCAGCTGCTGCCATGGTGTCGATAAAAGTGTGCTTATAAAATTAATTCGCGCGCAACAATTGCGCGAGACGAGAGGGATTTAAAAATCTAAAAATATACGCAAATATTTTTCGCACGAGCGAGTTCACCAAAGACCGACTCTCTTTTCGAGATCTTTCATTCTCTCTCGGAATCGCTCGTCACGTTGGTCGCTCGGGACACTTCTTCATCGATGTGATTGAAATACTTTAGCTGATTACTCGGACCTTTCCAGCGATTAGAACTTGACGCTGTAGTCACACGTGTACCATCAGCGAGACATCTGCCTCTGTGTTTACGGCTTTAACATGTGAACACCGTGTGTACTTTTATCGCCGCTTAAATGTACACAAGGTACGTTGCGAATGCGGCAGCTGGTGCGGATGTGATTCGTGCGGTGATTGCGGAAGGATCATTTTGTCACAGTACGAATAAATCTCGCGTGACGCGCAGGATCTTCCTCTTAAACTCTATTTGCCAGAGCGGATCGCGAGATTCGGCGAGTTCTCGCAGAATATTCATGAATTTTCAATCATCGCGAGATCCTCGTTCACCTGTTCAAAGCAAAGCCTCTCTTGAGAGGCCCGCCCACATGTTTATCGCACGTACCTTTACGCTGACTTTACAACTTTCACGAGCGAGACCGAGCAACATCGATATCGAATTCCGCAGCAGCGTCACGAACGTGACGCGTCGCGATCTCCTCGCAATAATATCGGCGGGCGTGATGTTTCGTAATATTACGTTGCGAGAAACGACAAAGCCGCTATTCAACGCTATTCAGCCCTGACAAGTAAACTGACGTAAAACTGTTGCAGATGCGAGTGCATCCCTGAGTGCATCAGCGCAGTCTTCGGAATCCGCGTCGAGATGTGCGCGCGAGTGCCGTGACGAAATTCCGGCTTCGATACGGACGAGCGAGTCTATTCTCGCTAATTATCTCGGTAATTCTCAGCTCATCGATACCGCGATGTCTACGAAGGAGCTGCCAGTGAGGGAGCGGCGACAAGTGAGTGAACGTTTTTAGCATTTTTTTCTAATACGCATATTATTCCAGTGAGAAGTGCGTCGGTTTCTGTTTCGACGTTTTCAAACGCTTCCGTTCACGTGTCACATGATGCGCAACTCTGGTTGGCAGGGAAGAAAAATATTGGAGGAGCGGGTTTACCGTCGTTTATTTGTTTATAATCTCTCGGGGGGGTAAATTGAAACGCGAGCCTTTTCGCTGAAAAATTCGTTCGCGCTCCAATCGCACGATATTTGCGACAAACCGTGTCCGTCCAGCGACGGATTCCTCGCAGCCGGTTTGACGTGGAATTTCGGGGCGCAAATAACATTACTGGATATACGCGAACGTGTTTGAACGAATTTGCTCGTGGGGCAGATCGAGAATCCGCGCAGCTGTGAAAAATCGGCCAAATTGCGACCGAAGTGGCAAACGAAAGTTACACGACTTGTATGAAGTTAAAATTACAGAATTAGTTAAAAAGCTAGTTAGGGATTCATTTAAGCCGATAAAATCCATGCAAGGATGTTGATGAGAAATAATTTTTTGATAATACGATAATAGACAGCATTTTTTTCGCAACATTACGTATGAAGCAAAAAGTCGCGCTATAAGTCGGACAAGCCGGGGATATAAAAATGAAAATATAAATATAAATATTAAGATAAACGTAAGTATAAAAATATGTAAATAGAAACTGAAAATATACGAACGGGGTCGATTAGACGATGGAGTTATTCTCCTCCTGCGAGAAAGAAATTCGCCAGCATCTTTGGACGTTTCTCATCGGTCTAAATTATTCCTCAGCGATTGAGTATCTAAGAGCCTTTACTCAGAAAAGCAATGCGTGAAAATGGCAAGCAAAGAAATAAGCTGAATCCAACAGGAACCCAAGTGGGCGCCGTGCGTCGGCGACTTTGCGATTCTGAAGGAGTACTACGCCGGGAGGGAACGACCTTTCTGGCTGCTGTTGCAGCTATTCGACGCTTTACTTCGCGGGTTTGGACAGGTGAGTGATCGAGCTCGACGCGATATCCGACGTCGTAACTCACGTGTACTCACAATTACCTCCGACAAGGAGTTACTGAAGAACGAACACTTTTCGCACGATGCTGCACTCGATGTGCTCTCACCCAAAAAAAAAAAGTAATTTCAGAACAAGCGGAATCATCTAAATTTTAGAGGATTTTATTCTTATATATGGCCTCAAGAGGATTCCTCCAAGATCAAGAGGAAAATATTATAAACACATTATTCTTAAAGTTAGAGGGATTATATGTTATATGTATAATGCAAATCTTATTAAATTTTAATATAAATTTCCTCTTATATACAGATTATTTAATCTTTTTTTTTTTAAGAGGATTATTTATCCTTACTATACTTTATTCCTACTGGTTATACTAGTTAGTTTGGAAAAAAAACTGTTATAATGTACAGCGAAAAGTGATATATATATATATATATATAAATGTATATTTCTGACTCCAGTTCTACAATAAGTAGACACGAATGAAATAAAATCATCATAACAAATAAATTTCCAATCAGTTTTATTAGTTTTATTATGGACTTCATAGCTACAAAGATGTTCATCATAACCAATTGATGAAACATAGTTAAAAGAATGAATATATTATTCAACTTCTTGCAATAGATTATAAACTGTATTTGAACAAATATAGGTAAATTATCTTCGTTATATGTTACAGCGACACACATACCTTTTGTAAAAAGCGTTCCAAATATTCTGACCCATCAACAGGTTATTTTTTCGTTTATGTCTGGAGGTAGAACATGACTGAACAAAATAAGCCGACATTCAAATCAACATATTCCTCTTTATACAAGAGGAAAATTAATTGATATAAGAGGAAATCCTCTTGAAATAAGAGGAAATCAGTTGGAACAATATCTTAATTAAATTTGAGATGAATGCTTCACTTCAGTCGCTTTATCGAAAGAGGAATCCCTTTTCTATAAAAGGTCTCGCTTAGAATATGAGATTATGTGAGAAATCACTTTACAAATGGAATACTTTTTTTGGGTGCTAAAAGCAGCAGTCTTGCGTGCGCAATCGGGTTTTGAAGAAGTGCGTAGTGCAAGGACAAAAATGTTCATTTGTTTATTCAAGTTCTCTCCGAGGTCCATTAAAAATGCAAAACGCATGGTTGTGCACAGAATTTGAATAATTTTTATAGGAAATTACAAACCGGCAATTTTCCACCGCTCGGTGGTCAAATTTTCAAACTTCCCACACTGAGAGAAAAGTATATGATATTTGGAACTATAATGATACAGTAACTAAATTATAGTCCGAAATATCATATTTGTAGTAAGTATTACCATAATATCGGTAATAATTACGATATAGGCATAGTATAACCAATTATATATTTTTACTAAGAATTATAGTAAGTTAAATTAAAATTATTGTATGGTTGCAAATGGTAAAATGGTAGGTAAAAGTAACTCTTTAATATAGTCAATATTACCAGAATATTTGCTAAATGATGACAGATGTAACTATATGAATATTAAATCTCACTATATTTGTGAATGAGAAATTACCATATATGTGGTAAAAGTAACTAAACAATGATTTAATACAATCATTGACTATATATTTGTGTTTGTTCTACTATATTTTGCAGATTCCACGAACTATAAAAATATAGTTGACGCCAAAATGAACTGTAAAATATAGTGAGATCATAGTTAATTCAACTATATTTTTCTATCGGTGCAGCAAATCGGTTTTGCGTGCGTACTTGACATCTATCTTCATAATCCACCAGTTTATTTCCACGATGAGGTTACTCGGTCACTAATTGCTGAATATCCGCCTGAAAAGTCGCGCGAAAAATCAGCGGGGAGCGCAACGCTCGCGGCCAATATAACTCTGTTATCTCGCGCGCCAACTCGATCACCGGCAATACCCACACGTACACACACATACACACAACCACGACGAAAATCGCCGCGACTACTTTTCAGGCTAACGTTACAGGTCCTATTGGTGAATAATCCTCTCAGCGGCCTGCTGATAGCGGTTACCTTGGCTGCGGTAGCGCCAGGTGCACTGGCGTTGTCTGCAGCTACCGGTGTCCTTGGCCTCCTACTGTCCATGGTATGTTTTATTAATCATTAGCCTCACCGTACGTACGTTTGTCTCTGCACGTTCGTGCGGCGAGCGTGCCAAGTCGCCGAAAAGAGGCGCGGCGAGCTCCTCGTGGCCGTCGAATGCGGCGAGGCGACCGCGCTCGTCCGGCCGACTGCGGACGGTTGCAAATCCGTCTTTTGTCTCTTTCGACCATAATGGACCGTTCGCGTACACACGCGAGGAAAAATCACTGCAATGCGGTATTCGCCTTTTCGCCTCGCCTCGCCTCGCCGCGACGCGACGCGACGCGACGCGACGCGACGCGACGCGACGCTCCACGGGAGACCCGAGGAGAAGCCCCGGCGGGGCATTTCCGCGTGCACGCGCGTGCACTGGCCGCCAAAATGACGCGCCGCGGCTCTTCTTGTGCAGCTCATGCGAGACTCTCAGGATCATGTGGAGAACGGATTGACCGTGTACAATCCGTTGCTGGTCGGCGCCGTATCGTACGTCCTGATACCGCAGATTTACGGGGCATTCGATGCCTTCAGCTGCCTGCACGTGCTCCTGGGAACGATATTCAGGTATATTCGAGTATATTGCCGCCGTGTGCCGCGGACGAGCCGCTTGAAAAATCCGCCGCTGTGAGCCGTAAATCGTTGCTCATCCTCCGCGTCAGCTCGCGATGCTCGCGATACGCTCAGATGAAATCTGCTGAAGGAGAGGCAAGATCGGCGGGGCATTAACGAGGCAATGTACGAGTTACGCAAGTACGAACATGTTCATTCGTCTCTTCTCGCTTTTATTCGACGCCCGTTAAAAATATGAAACACGTCGCTGTGTAAATTTGGGGAATTTTTATAGGAAATTAAGAAACGGTGAAGAGAGTTGAAAGCGGAATAATTGGCTACTAAAAGTCAGCTCTAAGGAGCGAGAATGCTGTCGCCGGCGGTAAAATGCGTCTGGTCATTGTCGTTCATTGTCACGTTAGCTTCATCAATCTTTCTCCTCCGTGCTCTTTAAGGTACACAAAGAAAGGTATCATTGCCGCTGAGGAAAGCAAAGTTGACTTTTCTTCTTGTAAGCAATGGTCCTCCTTTCTTGATAATAGCTTTCAAATATGTTCACCGCAAAGTTTATAAGAGCTCATTATAATGCGCTCCAAAGAGACGTTTACTTTCCTTTTAAGAGAACGTTTTGGTTTTTTAATTTAATATTCTTGATCGCTAGCAAACTCGCTAAGATTCAGAACGTACTTTGAGTAAATTTGATGCTTACGATGAATTTGCGATTTGCGAATGTACAACCTCGTGAGATATTATTTGAAACATGTAATGTTTATTCGAACGCATTATGTGAATTTGTTTTTATGTACATCCAAAAAAAAGTACTCTATTTGTAAAGTGATTTTTCCCATAGTCTCATATTCTAAGCGAAGCCTTTTGCAGAAAAAAATTTCTCTTTCGACAAAGCGATTAAAGTGAACCATTCATCTAAAATTTATTAGATATTATTCCAACTATTTTCCTCTTATCTCAGGAGGATTTCCTCTTGTATCGATGAATTTTCTTCTTAAATGAAAAATACAGTTTATAATCTATTGCAAGAAGTTGAATAATATATTCTTTCTTTAACTATATTTCATCTAATTGGTTATGATGAACATCTTTGTAGCTATGAAGTCCATAATGAAACTGATTAGAAATTTATTTCTTACGACGATTTTATTTTATTCGTGCCTATTTATTGCAGAACAGGAGCCGAAATACATCTATGTGTATATATATATATATATATATATATTACTTTTCGCTATACTATATTATCATAATTTTCACAAATTAACTAATATAACCAGTAAGAATGAAATACAGTAAGAATAAATAATAACCCTTTTAAAAGAAAAATTAAATAATCTGCGTATAAGAGGAAATTTATATTAGAATCAATAAGATTTGCATTATACATACAACATCTAATCCCTCTAACTTTAAGAATAATGCGTTTATAATATTTTCCTCTTAATCTTGGAGGAGTCCTCTTGAGGCCATATCTAAGAATAAAATCCTCTAAAATTGAGATGATTCCGCTTGTTCCGAGATTACTTTTTTTTGGGTGTGACATGTCGCGTGTGAATGACGGTGAATATCACGGTGTATGTCACCGAGCCTAAGAGCTCTTTTAAAAAATAATAACGGAATTGCATCATCGTTAAATTATCGGCCATTCGGGCGTCATGGCCATGAGCCAAAACGTATATTGACGCAAACTCGCTTGACATCAATGCCGCCGGTTGATTATTCGGGAGGGTGTCGGCAGACAACGACACATCGATGAGCATTCGTCCGTTGACAATGCCGCGCACGCTGGAACATTAAATGTAATTTAATGTAGACGGCTCGAAGAACGGCGCAGAAACACTGCACACGCCGTGACAGTGAGTCCGTTTGAGATTCGAGGAAGATAATCGGAATAGTTCGCGATGGTAGATTATACGGCAAACGCGGGAGTTACGCGTTTGCGCCGCAATTCACTCATCACCACCCAGTATGACTGGGCGGCGTTTGTAAATTTCAGAGGTGTTCTCTACAAGCTGCTGGTTAATGTTTTCAGTGTTTATCTCGCGCGCTCCCTGGACAGCGATAAATTCCCGTGCACAACGTGGCCATTTAACCTGACGGAGTTTGCGTTGATTTTCGCCCTTTCGACGCGGAATGGCACGAACGTGCTAACCGATGCCGCGGTACCGGTGTTTGAGATGGTAAATTAATTCTACGTTACGTACGTACGTTACATGAGGTTTACGAGTTTTCAACAATTCCACGCATACACACGCACACATATACATGTGTACGCACTTGCGCGCACGCAGCACTCGCGATTCGCGCCGAATTGAAGGGGCGAGTGGAGTAAAGTGATACATTAGGTCTTTTGAAAAATAACTCTTTTATCATGAATGAAGGCATATGCGTACAAAAAGTGTTTCAAAAAGGATAGGATGACTACATGTAGTTATATTATTTTGGTCGAGGTGAGCAAAAGAATTCTTAAAAATACAGCGCCTAAAACGATTAGTTGAAAAGTTAATGTCGCGTCAAGATTAAAAGAGAATTAATTTCGATGTTCATGTATGACACATATAATAATATATAATAATATTTACTTAAATGACTTTCAAAAATTTGATAGAAAGGCCAAAAGTGAAGGAGACGCTCAAAATATCCACAGCATGAAGCAATACAAGTCTGGATTCTCCGCATCATGGATTGTCTTTGCATTTAAACATTCTTTATATATGTGTGTGTATGTTCTTTGTGCATAATATTGAGTTGTGCAATTTCATATTTTTCATTTGAAACGAAACAATTGCATTTTATACCGTTATAATTTTATGAAACACTTTTGTGGCATAATGCGGAGAATGACAAAAGATTGCGGAACAAAGCGCGTACAGTGTTCCATAAAATTGCAACGATATAAAAATAGGATCGCTTCGTTTTACTTGGCAAGTCCGAAATTGCTGATCGCCACGATCCAGCACGATACTTCTGCGAGTATCGTACTTTTTGTTAGATGTTACTCCTGCCCCTTCGATTCTAATGAATCTCGAATGAGAAAGAAGACTGTATAGAGCGCCATGCTGAATAAATTCAGACATAACGATTAAGTTCGGGGATACTCTGCAATTCTGTGCAATTAACGAAAGTTCTCGCGATATTTCTGGACTGGAATAAATCTACGAGTCGGTACTCGTAGGAAACTTTCTCAATAAGAGCCACTCTCCGCTGATGTTGACGCGACAGGGAGAAGAGGAGAAGCTTTGATTGATATTTACGGAACGTGTCAAATGTGTGTTTACTTGACAGACGTCGCGAGGAACACTCGCGGGGAGTGACAAGTGATGACCGATCGGGGCCGTGTTCACTTTAATTTCGAGAGTAGGTCACGAGGGTGAATTTAAGTAGAATAGGGCGAAGGCTTCGGCGTGCGCCGGATGAAATTCTCTCGGAAAAACGGCCTTAGCACTCAGACCATACATATTCGACGCGCCTTCGCGAGGAGGAAAATGCTATCCCCCTGCTGGGTCGTGGCATGCCTCTCCTTGGTATTGATCAAACTCCGGCCAGAATAACTCCGTCAACGATAACGTACCGCGGCACGGATTTATTTCGACCTAACTAGTTGCCGGTTGTTTGTTTCAGTTAAATATTTGGCGTGCTCTCTTTATCTCCCTCTCTCTCTCTCGCTCTCTCTCTCTCTCTCTCTCTCTCTCTCTCTCTCTCTCTCTCTCTCTCTCTCTCTCTCTCTCTCTCTTTCTCCGTATTTCTCTCCACCGAGGATCCGCAAAGTTGGTAAATAGCAGCGTAACAGTTGGATATTTGGAAATATTGCTCGTTGCTGTGGCTGTGTAGTTGCATCTCTCGTGTGCGTGCGTGCGTGCGTGCGTGCGTGCGTGTGTGCGGACAAATATATCAAGTTTTACGACATGCGAATGTGCCATGCTGTGTTCACGCTATAATGGTCGCGTGTACTCTCGCGATAACGCGGAAAGTTAATTGCACTCTCGCGCGGTGTAAATAAGTTTCGTGATTTGTGCGACGTCCGACGTCTGAGCGTGATTAGAACGAATCGCGGCTGTCTACGAGAGAGCACACATAGTTGTGTGTGTGTGTGTGTGTGTGTTTTATGAGAAAAATTTCTCCCTCTTTCTTCTCGCTAAAGAAGGAATTTACGACTCGGGTCAGTGGAAGATGGAACCTAGAATTACTTCTTCGCGAGAGAAGCGTATTTTATCGCGGAATAGTTTGAACACCTTTACCTTCTGCGGAGCTCGTCGAGCGACCGCCATCGCGCGCGTTTCTCCGTCATGTGCGGGTTATTGTGCAAGACTCTCCTCATTGTTTTCAGCACAATGCAACAAGTGAGACGACGACGACGACGACGACGACGACGACGACGACGATGCTGACGGCGCTGGTGGACGACGGCGCTGCTTTCTACGTGCGGAACACGACCGACATTGACTGGGGAATGGTAGAGTTCACTAGTGCTCCACTTTTTGCAACTATGTGTCCCTGATTGCGCTTGTATTAGCGAATCTCGCGGCTCTTCAGGGATACAATAGGCTCTCGTTAGTTCCGCGGTCGCTGTCGCTCTATTTCGCTCGTATCGTCCGTCAGTACGTCGCATGCCGCAAACAAATCTCATTACGGGGCGTCTCGATGAACTTCCAGATGAACTGCGATACGCCGTGATTACCGCGAGATTTTGCCGTATCGAGTTATCGGTCCATCGATTGTCGTGCTCGAGGAACTCGTTCAGCCTCGTTTCAGCGGACATCGCCGCGGCATCGACGTTCGCTGCGATAGAATGTTTTTCTATAATTGCTTTATCGGGATCGGCGGAGGAATAAATCGGGACGAACGTTCGTCGTTCTTTTATCTCGCGGAGGAAACACTTTCGAACGAGCGCTCGGACGAGAATTCGCTGAAAAAAGAGAAGAGAAGAGAATTCGCTGGAAAAAGAAAAAAAAAAAAAAAAAGAAAAAGAGGAAAGAAAAGACAGCGAGAAAACAGATCTCCGCATTCGGCCGCGACCGAAAACGTTCGCCCGAGCGTATTTAAACTCGATTGCGAGATAACTGGGAACAACCGGCTGATTAGAAACCTCCTGCGGGAGCGTTTCCGTTACTGCAACCGAGTTTTCCATTTGACCCCTGCTCGTTCCCGAGCGCACCGGCGAAAACTTCCGACACGGACCGAGCAGAATTGTATTCCTCGTTTCTCCGTGCTTCCGCACGGTTGATTTATCTACACTCGATGCTGAAACTTAAAAATCCTGACTTTCAGATGGTGCGTGCCGTCATCGTCGGCCCGTCGCAGGTGTTCGCCGTCGACGATGTAACGTTCGGAGCTGTCTTGTACCTGGCGACGATCGTTTTCTCGCCGACGACTGCCGCGTTCGCGTTCCTCGGCGCCCTCGTCGGCTGTCTCGCAGGTATTCCTCACGGTAATCCTCACGCGAGCGTCGCGCAGCCATTGATCTCTCGTCGCAGCGATCATTGGCTGTGCACGGTGAACGGTGAATAAGCAGAAAATCCTCTCAGCGAGCGGAAGCGGAGCTCCGCGAGCTCTCTCGCTTCGCCGCAAGTGTGAGAAAGACGCGAGAGCGAGTATAACGATTAAATCGCCGTTCTCATGAATTTCCCGCCAGGCCTGCATCTCGGAGTGGAGCACGACGAGATCTACAGCGGGATCTGGGCTTACAACAGTCTGCTGACCGGGGCCGCCTTGGGAGGAAATCTGCTGGTGCTGAACGGCCAGACGACCGCCGCGACCGTCGTCGCGATCGTTTACACCGCGCTCGTGCAATATTGCGTGCAATCGGTGTTTGCCAAAGTACCTGAACGGCCCATTCGCAGCTCATTTCGGCGCAGCATTCCGCGAGACTCACGCGCCGCCATGTGTTGCAGGTGGATCTGCCGATACTGACGCTGCCGTTCGTCATCGTTGTCTCGTTGTTCTTAAAGCTGAGGACCGACGAGGACGACGCGGCGTTTCCACGGCCTGTGCCGGTTTCTTTCCCTGAAAAACAACGCCACGATTATCTGGCGACCCGCTCGTCGGCGCTCCTTCAAGCAGTACGTCTTTTCCCGAGAGCGAAAGAGGGAGGAGAGGGCAGAGAGCCTCCCTCTCACGTTCCCTCTCGATATGACGCTGTATATTTCCGCGACGATAGAGATCGCCGGAAGAAACGACGGCTCATCGTCGTGCTTCACGTCGAATCTTATCCCGCTCGAGATGCTCGAGCGTGCCGTTGAAAGTTCTCCCGCGCGATAAGACGCGCAAGGAATCCCCTTGGAATCTATCAAAGCCACGCCCCTACAAGAAGCAAGGACAGAAAAATTGATTTCTGCCTTACTCTCGGCTTTCGCTCAGGCCGAATTGTTTGTTTTCGCGGCGGGCTGAGCGCGTCGGCCGGCTGAATCAAATTTTTCAAGAAAATTGTGCAGCCGCGCGTACGTAATTACCGCGTGCGTTGCTGATTTCGCAAAATTGTTGTTGAGATTCGGCGGGTTAAAACGTCCGCACCCAAAAAGAAATAATTTCAGAACAAGCGGAATCATCTAAATTTTAGAGGATTTTACTCTTACATATGGCCTCAAGAGGATTTCTCTAAAATTAAGAAATATTATAATATTATGAACATATTGTTTTTAAAGTTAGAAGAATTATATGTTATATGTATAGTGCAAATCTTATTGACTTTACTATAAATTTCCTCCTATATACAGATTATTTAATCGTTTTTTAAGAGGATTATCATTTATTCTTACTATACTGTAATTTTATACAAATAATATACAGTATACATAAGTGTTCTCTAAGTGGCATTTGATATAGTGTGCGATACGATAAATGGATATATGCATGTACTTACACTAAAATATGGGTCAGTATGTCTTTAGGTTGATTTTCTCCAAAAATTCTTAAACTTCGTTCATGACGAAACAACCGGGAGAAACAACACAAACCGAATAACGATCTTTCTTTTTTTCTCCTTTGCTCTAGAGGTTGTCCATAAAATAAATAAATAAATGTGGCGACGATCGTCATATGCACAGAGAAAGTGTCCCAGATGGAAGAGGAGAAACGCTGACAAGCGTTCCTTTGATATAAGAGGAAAATTAATCGATATGGAAGAAATCCTCTTGAAATTAGAGTAAAACAGTTGGAATAATATCTAATCAATTTTAGATGAATGGTTCACTTTAATCACTTTCTCGAAAAAGGAATCCTTTTTCTGCAAAAGGCTTCGCTCCGAATATGAGACTGTGGGAAAAATCACTTTACAAATAGGATACCTTTTTTTTTGGGTGCGAAACTCAGCCGAACAAAACCACCGAGTGCGCTGCCTCGGCTGCAAACGGCAGAGTTACGTTGGACTCGAGCAGCAATTAGCGTAGCTCATCGAATTGCGTTACTCTTTGCTATCGTGTTATCGAAGTCTCTCGTGTTTTGTTACAGGTGGATGTTGCGGGGGAAGCTGACGTCGTGATTGAGAATTGAGAAGAGACGCGGCTTCAGCGGATCACCGAAGACCCGACGTAAGAGTTGAGAGAACAATTTGCATTATCACTCACTCAACGAACCGATCTCGTACGGTTCGGTATCGGTCGGTTCGCGTTCGCCATGCCGTCGGAGAAATTCCGGGAGAAATATCGCGCGCCATGAAATCAATTCGCCTTTAAAAATTGAGCAGAGCCTCCATAGCTCGGCGGATAATTGAGAGCTCGCTTCTGCTATAACAACAATCTATGCCATGAACGAGCTTAACGGCGATCTTGTGTACGGTTTGTATCGATCGGCCCGCGCTCGCGCGTGCGGCCGGAGAAATTCCGGGAGAAATAGCGCGCGCCTTGATATTAATTCACGATTAAAAATTGAGGAGACGCGCAATCTCGGCGGATAATCGAGGGCTTGCTTCTGATTGTACGAACAATTTGTGTCGTAAATGAGGTCAACGGCGATCTTGCGCGGTTCGTATCGATCGGTCTGCGCCGGCCATGCCGCCGGAAGAATTCCGGGAGAGATATCATGCGCCTTGAAATTAATTCGCCGAAAAGCTCCTATTTTCCACAAAAGCATCTCGTTGTTCAAGCCGCGCACGTACTCTCTCTCTCTCTCTCTCTCTCTCTCTCTCTCTCCCCCTCTCCCTCTCTCCTTTTCACCGTTTGATATGCATCGACGCTCCTGAAACGTTTCTGACTCCAGGCGGATTCTTCGCCACGTTTTCAAATAACGGCGTACGTGCTAATCTCCTTATCTCGCGCCGGCGATCCGAGGTCACGACAGGAAGTAGGAGGGGGGAAGCTGAAGAGGGCGATAAAGGCCTCGCGGGGCGAGGGAGGGCGCTTTTTCGGCTCGCGGCTCGCTCTCGCCGGGCTACGAGAAGCTACAGGTCGATCGATGGAATTTATTTCGACGCTTCTGCTGTGTCGCGACTCGTAAATTCGACCGCACTAAATTCTTACGCCCCCGCGAAATTGCACTGGGAATACCACGTGCGGGCTGCTTATCGCGCTCGGTTTCACGCTCATGCAGGCACGATTTCGCGCGAGGTGGCTGGGCGGCTGAATTTTTCGGAGGGCACGGAGGGAAAAGCACCCGGAGCGACCGATCGTCCTGGCCGGAGCGTGCGGGATCTGCGGAAGACGTTCCAACAAAAGCCGACGCCGTTTCCCGGAGGCCTCTCTCAACACCGGCCGACCTAATCAAACTAGCGAAAGCACCCCGCCACCGCCACAATTCGTCCTCATTCTCACGGAAAGAAGTTAATGAAGAAGAGTGGAGAGCGAGAGAATTGCGGTTGTCTCCCGGTGAGGCTGACACATCGGCATTGTCACCTATACATACGTGGCTCCTTATTACGTTCGTATTTCGATCGCGAGAGAACTTGTCCGTCTGAATCGCGACGTCCCGTCTGCGGGAATTCGCGTTGCGACGCGCTTACGACGCGCGCGACGTCAGAGCGTCGGATTTTGCGCTCCTTCGTAGCGAGCACCGCGATCTATCTCTGTAAAGCAATACATAACTGCGCTGTTGCGGCAAGTAATAAAATGATTTATATCCCTGATAAGCCTGCTTTAACGTGGCTTCCACCGCGGGCTTGGCTTTACTCTGCGAAAACTGCACAACGCGGGCAGTATCCCGCGCAGATAATTAAGGATAGTCCGTGAACATTAACGTCGGTAATTCGCTTCATTTGCCGGAACGCGACTCGTCATCTCCAGGGCGATTAACGGCCAATCTTTTTGAATATTAACGCACTCACTAGTGACACGCATGCGCATATCCGCAAATATGCGGATGCGTATGAAATATATCGGTGAAAAAATTTTGGATTATAATTCCGTCGGATTAATGACTGTGTGTGTGTGTGTGTGTGTGTGTGTGTGTGTGTGTGTCTCGAAAATTATACAAAGAACAAAAGTATATAACAAATTTCCGAGCTATAAATAAATACTTCATCGGCCAGTGTATCATAAAAACAGATTGCCGTTAGAAACATAAAAATTGACGCTTTATGTAACAGATTCAAAGTTCCTCATTAATTTTTAGTAAATTCACCGTTTTAGCTGACTTTCCATTGTCTTAACAAGATTCACCGTATCTTGCACCGCGGCACTCAGGCGAAAAGCTCATCAGCGTCGCTGACTGGTGATCGTCATGACGCTCAATTATCGTCAACGCAGACTAATCTCCAGCCCAACGCAAACACAAAGACCGATCTCTTGCGCATTTACACGAATGCGCTAATCGCATTTATTCCACAGCCGCGTGATCTCGCATCACTATCAGAAACGCGGTAATTTTCCCTTTGCAGCGATCTTTGTTTCAGGTCGCTGCGATCTCTAGAAACGGAGATATGAAATTTCGATCGATGCACGCGACAGTAGCGCTGCGAGAACAATGGCCGCATTCCGCCGCCGCGATTCCGGGAAGCCATGCCTCTCGCTGTACGCGATGGCACGCGGCCTTGCCCCCACTCCGCGATTGCTCGATTGCCACGTGGTGGTGTCGCACGCGCCGCGCGGCCATGCGGTCATTCACCTCACGTGAGAAGAGCGCGGCATGTAAACAAATCAGTGCGCAGGCGCGAGAGCAAGTGCAGCCACTCGCGCTCGGGAGAGGTCGTGACTCGCCGACGAGTCGACGCGCAGCGACGTGAGGTCGAGAATGGTCTCCTCTTCCATGCACGTGTATCCATTCAAGCGCGAAAAACGTTCGCGCGGGAAACACGAAAGTCTCTCATATCGTTCGGATTTCTTGCTTCGTCTCGTTCGTTCTGACAATACCGAGATTAACCCCTTGTCCTACCCGCTAACTCCCGATCGCTCGGGCCACAATAAACAAGAAGGTCGATCACGCGTCGAGCCATCTAGCTGTTTAGTCGTGTGCTCGAACTTGCGCAAAATGTATGCGTCTTATGACATGTATATTTCGGCGCAACGAAAGGAATTATCATCGATGTTAGATTTTCCTTTTACTGACATGATAGGTATAAGGGTTGTTTAATTCTTTTAGGGAATTATAACCTAAACGTGTGAACGTAACGAAGAATTACACGTGACTAAAGTAAGAAAATATCGAGAACAACTGAACCACGAGTCTGACTCGTGTTGTTTATGTTTGTCCCGAATGAAGTACCACGAGCCAGGCTCGTGTTGTTTACGTTTGGTCCGAACGAAGTACCACGAGTCAGGATCGTGCTCATTGTTTTTGGCCCCAATTTCTTACCACGAGTCTCACTCGTTGCTGTAGGACAAGGGGTTAATATATTATTGTGCCGATCGGGAAGTGACACGTCTTCTCGATATTTCCAATTTACGTTGCAGTACGGGTTTGCGTTCAAATTCGCCGAGTGCAGGGGAAGCAAGTCGAACCGAACGGGAAAGCTCTCCATCTATATGATTTTTTTATATGACGTTTTTTTGTTTATTTTTTTAAGATATTGAGCGAAGGGAATTGACGGATGACTTGGGACACTCTGGCGGCTTGCGGGACTCTTGGTTGATCGGATGTTAAGATGCATCGAAGGAATAAATAATTATCTAGAAACGTTCGGTAAATCTCTCTGGACCTTCTTTTTAGAAACATTTGGACATTTGGAAACGAAATCTCTCCGTACATTTTTTAATATCCGATAAAATTCGCGCGAGAGTGCCGGCTACCGGACGTTTCAGTTTTCGTCTTTTAGCAAGATTATCTCTCAGCAAGAATATCGACTAGCAGCGAGAGGCTGAGTAACGCTGCGAGCAGCGCGCTCCAGCGCTCTACCGCATCCTGCGCGTACGCCAAAAGAGCGTTCCTTGATTAATATCTCAATAAATACATGCCGTGGTTATTCGCAAAAGGACGGAAGACCTTCTCATTTAGTTCCATCTGTACACGAGCGTTACTACACGCTGTCTCGGGCACTCTCAGTGTAACACGCGCTAAGCTTTTTTAATTAGTACTCAGTAAGTGTGCAGGGCAAGTTTGACATAACATAAAGCTTTCGTCTAAGTGTTGGAAAATTTTCAGCAATTCAATTCAACTTTCGCAAAATTTTGAGTTGTCGAAGCGACACTCACTGATATCGTGCACCATTATATTTTACCTTTCTTTGAAAGAATAGAAGATTCTTTTGTTCGTTTTGATCCAATCTATATTTGCACCAGAGACAGCTTCCTATGTATTGTCAAACACCCTGTATATCGTGACTAGTTTCAAAACGTCAGAAGACTCCCCCGATTTAATGAGTTCGCGCTAAACGCATCAAACGTTTCCAATTAATACCCAGCAATTATATATTCGCCAAATGACGAATCGCCAAACGTTGGAAATTTCCATTCCCCAGACGCGCTTTGCCCGCGCTGCAGCGTTGCTTCAACATTCAACGTAACATTCAGGTCAAAACAATAAGTGTCGCGGCTGAAAAAAGCAGCGCCTCCGGATATACTTGACGCTCATGTATCTAGAATAAGACACACAAAGAAGGTTGGAGAATTTAAACGAATCAACATCTCCGTTCGCGCTAGCACCCTCGTCGGCCAGAAGGGAGAGAGGAGGCATCAGTTGCTGTAGCGACGTCGCCGACGACGACGACGACGACGGCGCCAAAGTTGCTCGCGATGGTGGTGGTCGCGGATGATGGTGGAGGTGGCGGCGGGGAGTCGGCGATGGTGGTGGTGGTGGTAGCCGCGGCGGCAGGAAGGGGTAGGGCTGAACGCATCCCAGAGCGGCTACCTGCCCGCCAACCCTGTCTGCTTCGCGACGCTTCCCTAGTACTCGGGCGATCGCTAACACCCGCGCACGCGAAGACATCCCTCCGTATCGCGTGGGCTTGCACGCCACCGTGTGCGTGCGTGCGTGCGTGCGTGCGTGCGTGCGTGCGTGCGTGCGTGCGTGCATGGTGCATGCGTGCGTGCGTGCGTGAGTCTCAGTCTTGGTGTGCGGCATGAGTTTCGCATGAGTGTTCATCGGGCAAGGGAGAGAACACGCAGAGAGAGAGAGAGAGAGAGAGAGAGAGAGAGAGAGAGAGAGAGAGAGAGAGAGAGGGAGAGAGAGAGAGAGAGAGGGTATCCTAAGCGGCGTGCCGAGAGCACTGCCGATCGCTAGCAGCGTGGGCTTAGCGTGATGTAACCCCACGCGCGGCACGCTAATCGTCCTCGACTCGGCCTCGCTGTGCGTGCGTGCGTGCGTGCGTGCGTGCGTGCGCTCCGCGAAGGTGCACGGGGGCTTCATGAAGCGTCATGACCTACCGCGCGAAACACGAGACCTAGCCCGGCCAGTAGGCGCAACGTCCGCGGCAGACGGCGGAGTCGCTGACAAATGAGTAGCGAGCTGTGAGTAGTGAGTACCACGGCGAGTAGTCAGCATCGTGAGGCGACCGACGAGTAGTAGTGGTCGCGTACGGGCGCGTGTGCGTGCGTGTGCGTTGTGCGAGGCACTGAGGACTCGCGTTCGCGCGAGACGCCTTGGTAGCGTGAGACTACTTGTCGGAAAGCGACAGAGAGAGAGAGAGAGAGAGGAGAGAGATGGGGTACAAAGTCCGCTTTGCCTTTTCGTTTTCTCTCTCTCTCTCTCTGTTTACGTGCACAACCCTCCATGTAGCTCTCTCCCTCTCTCCTTTTTTCCCTCCACTTTCTTCTTTTTTTCTCTCCGCCCTCTCTCTCTCTCTCTCTCTCTCTCTCTCTCTCTCTTTCCCTCTCTCCGTTTCTCCGGAGAATTTTTCGAAATCAAGCAGACACGCGCTCGCGACGTGGTCCGAGCTCGCATCTCTTTTGCTTTGCATATCTTTCTTCATGCGCTTCGCACTCGTGGTTGTCCACCCGTCTGGAATCTGCTGGTCCCTCAAGCGCGCGACTGCTCTCCTCCGGAAATCCTTTTTTTTCCCGCGAGAGGGAAAGGATGCGCGCGTGTGTACGGAGATCATATTAGCACCGGCGTCTGGATTCTGGAGAGAACGATCCGTATATTACTCTTTCATCGCGCGGCTCCGTCTCTGTCTCTCTTTCTTTCTCTCTCTCTCTCTCTCTCTCTCTCTCTCTCTCTCTCTCTCTCTCTCTATCTCTCTTTCTCTCTCTCGCCCGACTGATTCCGCCGTGTGCGAAAAGCAAGCTCACTTTCGACGCTCCCTCTCGTTTTTTCGGGAGGACACCATGTGCGCCAGCGAGAGATACTTCCAATCCCTCTTGTCTCAGTCCCTCGGGGAAAGAGACTTTTGTTCCTCGAGGGAGGAAAGTTGCCGGAGCGGGCTCCGGCGGAGCGGCCGGGGAGCGAAAAATTGGGGACGACGCGAGCAGATTGATCACGGCGAGCTGAGCCGATAAATTAGGGCAACGCTTGAGGATAGCCGTGGGGCAGTTGGAGAGAGCCGCCAGGCCGTGCTGGCTCTCTCTCTCTCTCTCTCTCTCTCTCTCACGCACCCTCGTGCTATTCCGGGGCTGACTTGCGGTCGCGCGTACGGAGTCGCGAGGACTCGGAAACCGCGAAGCGCCTTTGCACCGCCCGGTATTCTCGGCACATCCGCGCGGTATCGAGTGCTTTTATGGTCAATCGGCCGCCAAAGCGTGTATTGGCGCGTATCGACTGCGTTAGCCGGCCAACGCTGCGGTCCCGTCAGCGGGCGTTCTGTGACGTTCGAACGGCTAGAGCGGATGACGAGAGCTCGAGAGCGATTTGCTACTGTCGCTACGCTCGCACTGAAATGTGATGAGGCAGGCAGACTCCTCTCAAGTCCGCTCGGGAGTGAAACTCCCTCCGCTCCGGTGCAGCTTCGGCATCACCGCGACCGTTTTGCTTTCTTGCGAGATTGCCTCTGCAAATAGTCATCCCTCTTCGGCGCTCTCTCGTATGGTGTTTTTACCACCCGCCGTGATTGTGTGTTTTGTACACACTCCCCGCTGGAAAATACGCGAGTCAGACTCGAAGCTTTCGAGAACGAGCACGAGTCGACCCAAGCGAGTAGCTCGCTTGGGGCGAGCCGATGAACGGATTTCGGTGATTTCATTCGTCCGATGGTCGAGTGGACTTTCTCAGAGCGGCGGTTGTTTGCGACATATATCTGGCGGAAAAACCCGGAGATTACGGTCCTCCCGAAACTTTTCCCAGGCTTGCCGTTCGGCAAGCCGAAATTCCTCCGACGATCGTAAGGACGACTCAAGCGTGCGACGCAACTGCGGAGGCGATTTCACTTCCCCGGCTGGAAACTCGCCGAGCTCGACGTCTCGGTCCCCGTGAACACTCCGACAGTTTCACGACGTTCGCTCGCAAAACACACACACACACACACACGCACACACACACATACTCTCCTGAGCGGATAAAGTTCGCCGCATGATCCCTCTCTCGCACGAATTCCAGCCGGGCATGGCTGCGTGTCCCGCGCGTCGTCCTTCGCATTGCGCTGCGCGGAAGAACGGGGTCATTAGCTACGCGTCTAATCGGAACGCGAGGCTCAGCCTCGGCGCGAGTTGGCCGAGCAGAAGGGAGCATCGGCGGCGCGACTCCGATTTCGACGCGAGCTGTCGTCGTCGTTGCTCTAGCCTCGGCGATGACTCGCCGGCGCGGGTCGATTCCCGTTCACGAGCCGCTGCTGCCCCCAGCGCGCGATTCCGCGCGGCTCGACCGCGTCGCCGTCGACGAATAACGACGCCCCAGTGCGCGTCCGTGAGCATTTGAAGCGCGAAAGCAGCTCTTGACGACGTGTTCTTTCTCTCTCTCTCTCTCTCTCTCTCTCTCTGTCTCTCTCTCTCTCTCTCTGTCTCTCTCTCTCTCTCTCTCTCTCTCTCTCTCGCCCGCTCGCTCGACGAGGCGCGTCGTCGCGACGAGCGAGTACTCGCCGAGGACGCGGCCGCGCAGTCGAGCGCGTTCTCGCGACTGCATCGTTAAATTGTACCCAGCGTGAAAGAACAGGACACCGCGAAGGACACTCTCGGCAGACGCTCGGGGCACGATGAGAGAGTAAGCTGCGCGACGCGAGCCGACAGCGCGTCCTGCAAGGAGCGGCTGCCCGGGGGGCGGCGTGGATCCGCGCGCGGCGACGGGCAGGATACTCGATGAAGAAGAAGCACCTGGCCGAGCGGACACTCGCGCAGGATTCGCGTATGATGGACACGCGAGCGCCGTCGGGAGGTATCCGCGGCAGTCGAGCGGCGCCGGAAATCGCGCGATTCGGCGAGTCCTCTGGCACTCGCTACCAGATTACGGCGCACCGGCGGCGCCGGTAATGGAGCGATAATCCGCCCGAGAGGAAAGCTCGCGCTCCTCGAAGCTGACTCGAGCTCGGTCGAGTCCGACGCTCCGCCGGACATCGATTGCCTCCGCGACGGGAACGCAGAAGGCGGAAGAAAGGAACCGAGAGACTCTCGCCCCCCCCCACCCCGTGACGAAGGAGCGGGCTGTAATTGGCGTTCGATCGTATTCGCGGGGAATTCCTACGACGTTCTCGTCATTACGCGTCCAGGCAAATTCCAGCGAGAGAACGGCAGAATTGGAACGAACGAATAATTCAGCGACCACCCTGCCTTCCCCTCCTCTATCTCTCTCTCTCTCTCTCGGCGACCGACAGGCAGCAAACAAGCGGGAGCGTCGCTCAAGCAACGCCACGTCTCGCGTGTCAAAGGGCGAGAGCGGTCAAAGGGCGCTCGTCGCAGGTTCCCTTGGCGTCGACCGGCGAAACGAGCGAGACGGGACGAAGCGGCCGCAGGATCGAGTCGGCCGGCTGCTAATGCGGCCGAATCGGCGGGGGTGGCGGCGGCGGCGACTGGCTTTTACGTGGCTTGTAGCCCCGTAGCTGTCGCGAGGGAAGAAGATCGTTATTACCAGCCTCGGGCGGAAAGCCCGCGGAAGATTAATGAACGGCGGCAGCGGCGACGGCGACGGCGGCTGGCGGAATAACGTCGCGCGAGCGTAGTGGCGTTCGATAAGATCCGCGGCCGAGGAAAGCGCGGAGGAAGTCGCTGCGCGCTCCGCTGCGGCCTCCGTGTGCGAGCGGCGTGCGAGCGGCGCAAGGCCCCGGCTGGATGTTGTCGCGATTCCTGCAGGAGCTCTCGGCGGCAGACAACGTCGGCGCGGAGAAGCGGCGGCAGGGCTTGTGATCGTCCCGCCAGCGGGCCGATCGTTCCCGCGCCACAAGCGATCGCGTAGCGATCGCCGTCGCCGCCGACGGCGAGAGGAATGTGACAGCGCGAGGTGGAGAGATGACGGTGACGCCGTCGACTTCCGATGTCGCTGACAAGGCGGTGTCGACGGACGACGGCGGCAGCGGCATGGAGGTGGCGCGCCTCGAGGCCGTCCTCGCTGCTCTCGTGGAGACCAAGGTGGAGGCGATGAAGGCGTCGTCGACCCTGAGCCGACGCTCCGGCAGCGCGCCCGCCAGTCCGCGCCGACCTAGATTGACCTCGACCTCGACGGCCTCTTCTTCCTTGAACCATCATCACCATCACCATCATCACCATCACCACCTGCACCACTCGCAGCAGCAGCAGCAGCAGCAGCAGCAGCAGCAGCAACAGCAGCAGCAGCACAAGAAGAAGGGCCAGCCGCACCAGCAGCATCATCGCCACCGTCGCAGACGTCACGACTCCGCGCCCTGCGGTGAATACCTCAACGATGTGACGGATCATTCTCAGCACAAGTCACTCAATGGTACGTCGAGACGATTTATTGCTTTGCGTTTGCGGGAGATCGGTCACGCAGGTGGCAATCGAGCGGAGAGAGCGCCGAATTCGCGAATGTTTCCCGAGGGGGAGAGAGAGAGAGAGAGAGACGTTCCTTCGACGTTTCGTGTCTTTGAGCGTCGTGTGCCTCTCTCGTAGTCTGGAAGAAAAAAATGGTTAATCTTGTCGAAGTGGTTTTTAGCGCCACATTTCTCTTGGTCGTTCTGACGGCGAGTGGTAGACGGAGGAATATCGTTGCGCCGCTGCTGAGAAAGCGACTGTTCGCTTGATCTCTCTTCTTTTGAGTAACGGTTATTTCCAACAAAGAGGATAGATCCTGAATGATGGTCTCTCGAGATGCGCTCGTTAGAAATTTCAAACGGGCTCATCATCATGCATTTAAGGGAAGAATTTCTCTTCTCGAGAATATTATAGAATTTATACGCTCGCTATGGGAGAAGAGAGCAAGAGTTGCGTTTCCGTTTCAATTAGAGACTCTTGTTCCAATTTAATATCGTTCGTTGGAGTTTTAAACTTTATCAGGGACGGGATTCGGAGTATATTTTGAGTTAATCCGACGCGCTCGCGACGGACTTGCAACAAATTTACGGGTATCTGCAAACCTGCGGAATAGTTGGAGCAAGTGTACATTACATTTATTTTTTAACTCGGTATGTGTTTTTTGTGCGTGTAGTAACAATCGATACGACTGCGGTACTTGCTGCGAAAGTGGTTTTCTTTACCGCAATTGTTCATATGCAATCAAAGGTGATCATTCGAATCTCCGTCGGACATTTCCGTCGGACGGAGGATTAGAGTTTGCGCTCGACGAGGAGATACGTTTGTTCCCGGAGAATCCCGAAACTCCTTCGGCGAAATTCGCAAAATATTTGCGGAGCTAAGCTGCGCCTGAAGCTAAGCTTCGTCTGAACCGCCGGCGGGTATCCATTAATCGCGCCTTTTTCCGTTTGCCAGGAAAGGGACGGAGAAGAGCTTCCGAAAGTCCTCGAAGCCCTCGAAAGAAACGCAGGCATTCGAGGAGTCCAAATGTTCTTCAAGGCGTTCAAGACGTTCACGCCGGCCTCGATTCGCGCCTCGAGCTGGTCGGCATAGACGGCGACCAAAACGTGGCCCTAATAAACTTCGAAAGGGCTAAAGAAAGGGCTAAAGAAGTCTTCGGCGACTCTTCCAGATATCCGCCGCCGCTGCACCGAAGTGCCTGCTACATTTCCCAAAGCGAAGCTCAATTGTGAGTATATCTCATCGTACGCGCGCTCTCTCTCTCTCTCTCTCTCTCTCTGCTCTTTTCAAACGCCGACGGCGATGCAGCGGTTTAAATTATCGCTGAGTTCCCTACCAAAGTTCGCGGACATTCGTAGGATCAAGTTGCCCGGGGAGTAATTTCGCGGTGTTTTCCCAGACACGGCTTAAACTCCGATTAGAATTCTCAAATTTGCCTCAAAATTGACTATTCGACTGCGATACCGATTTCATTCTTATCCCAGTCATGGCTTCTCGAAATCGAGACAGAAGAAATCATACGGAAAGAATTTTTCGGGAGATGCAACATTTGTACAAAATACAATATCAGCTTGTTCGGTTAAGATAGACCGATATTGCTTAAAACACAATTGAAAGTGTGGGACAAAAGTGTCAACGGAATCTGCCGAGGCGCGTATCCAACTTTGGACATTTTCTTAATGTGTGTGTGTTTTGGTTTTTAAATTCAGATACTTAACCCTTTAACGTCCGACTTTTTTATGTTTTAAGAATAAAATTTGAGTTTTTTTAAACTGAGACTATAAGTAGTGATAACAAAAAAAAAATATCAGAATTTTATATCTATGAAAAACTACGGAATTTTCTGACCAAATCATTATCAAAGGATTCTCGATTTTTTTCAAAAGCGTCTTTTTGTATTTCTGTTTATTGTTTATTGGTAAATATGACTTGGATCCTAAAAGCATATACGAAATGAGCAATCTATATAGAGAAAAATGAAGAGTAATCCATACGACATAACTCTGATAGTCAGCTTGACATTTTTGAGCTGAAACTTTATTATATTTGTGAGTGAAGTTTATCATTCAGAGCGTCAAGCTTACTATTTCAGAAGAATATCTTATGGATCACCGTTTAGATAGTCAATCGTCCTTCATTTTTCTTCATTTTTCGCCGCATAAAAAGCTGTAGGTCATCAGGTTTCACGAAAAATAGGTTGATTTCTTGATTTTCGTGTCCACCATATTGGATTAGCCATTTTGAACTTCTGTATTCTTGTAATTTCACATTTTGCATCTGAGAAAGCTTCCAAATGTATAAAATTATAACAGATTCCAATCTATTCATTTATAGTGCACTTCTAGATATCAGTAACAATGCTAACTATGCCTACCTGGAATTTAACAAAACATATTATCATTAAAACTAAGTTAAAAACAGACTAAACCGAATCTACATACAATCTATATACCATTTTTTAGAAGAAGAATTCACCTTTACAGTGCGGGTGCAAAGAAAACGAAAATATCTCCTTTTTTGTCCAAGTTATGGATTCTTAAATGCGTAACTATAGTTACTTTCTGGTAACTGTAGTTACCAATAGGCGTTAAAGGGTTAAACCTTCAACATGTATTCTACGTTGGGAGCTAAAGTACACTCACGCACCAAAATAATAAGAATGTCCAAGAATAACGGCGCAAACTTTCGGGAAATCGGACGACAGGCTTCGAAAAATCAGATCCCGCTCGACGCAGTAATCGCACCGGAAACAGTTAAACCGCCCCGGGCGGCAGATGGACTGGAGGCTGCGCCCGAAATTAGAATCCTCTCATCCTCGTCGCCGCGGAATATCTCGCTCGATCTTCCGCTGCTATAGTTTTCTCCGCGTCGCAACTCCGCGACGACGACGGAGGGATGCCTGTCGCCTCTCGGCTCGAACTTCCGCTTCGCTATCTTGTCATCTACCCGGGTCATCTCGCCGGGTGTCCGCGCGACCCGTCCGTCCTCCGTCCGTCCGTGTTATCTCACCGGGGGATTCGATCCGTCCTCAGCTCCACCAAGTGAGAGAGAAAGACGTGCTTTTGGCGTGAGAACACACCACTACGGGGTGGAACTGGGTCAGCAGCGCGCAGTGCGTGGTTGCGCGCCTCCGTCACATGCTCTCTCTCTCTCTCTCTCTCTCTCTCTCTCTCTCTCTCTCTCTCTCTCGGCAAATACGGTTTGGCGGCTGAACCACCTGGCCAACAAAGGACGAGCGCGCCGTTGAAGCGTGTAATGAAACTGCGGCCGTCCGCTCGCGAGGTCCGGAGAAACGGACGCTGTGGTGTCGGTCGGCCGATCATCACGAGGAGGCGTCGCTGTGTTATCGCGCGTCATCGTCCCGCGCTCTTTACTCTCTCTCTCTCTCTCTCTCTCTCTTCCTTTCCCGTCTCCCACCCGATTTTCGCCTCTTCTCGATCAATCGTACACTGCGGTTTGTAAAATGATACGTTCGGCCAAGTGTATGCGCGCCACGCGATACGGCGGGCCCGAGGAGAGGTCTCTCTCGCGATGATCGCCAGCTTTGTTGCTCTCACGTGGCTGCCCGCCACGTAACTCGCCCTGCAAATGTCCACCGAGACAAGATATCTGTGGGGGCAAAATACATTCGTCTAGCTGTTCGACTTGTATGTCGTACAATAACACTCGCCCGCCGGCGAGCTTCGCAAATATCATTTCGGCAGCGAAATGCATTAGTTTAGCCGTTCGGTCTGTATGCAATAATAACGCACGGGGGTGTTATTAAAGGTGCGTTCAAAAGGCAGAGAGAGAGAGAGAGAGAGAGAAAGTGTTTTTCAAGCTTCTTCAAAGCTCGTTACATCGTCGCCCTGCGAACATTAACACCCGAGAAATCCGCTCTTAAAATTTCGCAAGAGCGTCCCGAGTATAAATACATTCGATTAGTCATTCGGTTTGCGTGTGTAGTAACAGCCACCGACACAAGTGCCTCAAATATTATCCCGGAAACAAAAACGCGCTCGTTTAGTCATTCAGTTTGTACGTCATAATAACACATAGGAGTGTTATCAAAGGCGCGTTAAAAAGGCAGAGAGAGAGAGAGAGAGAGAGAGAGAGAGAGTGACGCATCTGTTGAACTTCTTCAAAGCTCGTTATACCGTCGCCCTGCAAATTCCGAAGGGTAGCGCCGTCCTTTAAATTTCACACGCGCGGCAAGAGAGTGCCCTGAATATATCATAAACACGTTCGATCGGTCATTTGGTTTGACAACCCGACAAAAACTCATTCGCTGGGGCGAGTGCCTGATATATATTATTCCCGAGACAAAAGCGCATTCGTTCACACGAATTCCTCGACTCGCGACACGTCGCAAATAAGGGCGCGTAAGCCTACGTGTTATCAAAAATGTGCTAAAAGGGCCGAGAGAATAACGCGCCTCTCGGAAACTTCTTCGAAGCTCATTATACGGTCGCCCTACAAATCCGGAACAATGGCACACTGTCCTTTAAATTTCATGACAATGCTGCCCCAGATATACGTAGCGTGCACACGGAAGAGAAATGCGGGAGGGTATCGCGACGGACATCAGTTGACACGCAACTCGTCGCGAAGACGCGTGTTCGTCGAAAAGTGTTTCGCGCGAGACGGCGCGGCAGCGACCGATTTAGCGTTGACGTTTACTACTTGCTACGATCCGCTTCAGCACGCTGGGATCTCCCGGCGTCTATAGGGCAAGCCCGGGGTAGATGCGTAGTTTTTTTTATTGGAAATAACACATCTGTATTATTGCAATGAATGATCAACGACATATTAACACGCTCCCAAGTAAGCCTACCTACTCAAGTGTCCCACTCCGATTTTGACGAAATTTTGCATGCGTATAGAACATCGAAAAATATTAGACACGTAATATTTTTTTATATCGGCCCATAAAACGTTTTTAGGGTAGAAACCACCTCTAAAATGTCAATTTTTTCGCTTTCTTGTCTTATATATAGATGTTCAATATCACGAAATGTTTGAGAAAATAATGTTTCCAGAGAAACACATCTGTTGTTTTTATGTTACCAAATCCGAATTCATCAGAAAATTTGAGATTTTCAAAATGGCGGATTCAATGTGGCGAATCGATATTTGAAGAATATCATGATTCTGTCGTAATTGGCATACATTTATTAATTTTCTGCGATTTACATATCTCAAGGTCTTCAGAGTAAGAAACAAATCTAGAATCAGAATTTGAAATTCAAAATGTCGAATTCATCATGGCGGATGAAAATTTGAAAAACATTTCTCCATCAATTTTTGGAATTGGTGTATGATTTTATATGTGGCTTCTCTAGGCTGATAGGTAATGAGTAAATGAGACGGATGCTTTGCCCAAATAATGAAGATATATAATGTGGACCTATTCGGCTAATGAGTATATATGTGAAGTATATATTATTAAATATAGTTTTCTAAATTTGATTATGTATTATAATTTTTAATTCTGAAGACCTTGAGATACACGACTCACGAGAAATTAATAAATGTACACGAACTTTCGAAAAATATGATATTCTTCAAATATCGCTCCGCCATATTGAATCCGCCATTTTGAAAGTCTCGAATTTTCTGGTGAATTCGGATTTGATAACACGAAAACAGCTGATGTGTTCCTCTGGAAACATTATTTTCTCAAACATTTCTCAAACATTAAGTATTTATGTACAAGACAAGAAAGCGAAAAAATTGACATTTTAATGGTAATTTTTATCCTTAAAACGCTTTATGGGCCGATATAAAAAAATACGTATCTAATATTTTTCGATGCTCTATACGCATGCAAAATTTCATCAAAATCGGAATGAGACATTTGGGTAGGTTTACTTGTCAGTACAGGAGAAGGTATTTAAGGTATGGAAGAATTTTATGGAAAAAAAATTCATAGGACGCCAATAATAACGAAATATTAAAAATATTCGGTGAAGGATAAATGGTCCGGGTTAAGATGGTCATATGTGAAGGTATAATTGGGCATGCCTATGATTATGTAGAAATTTGTTTATCTTTATTTATCTGTTTAGTCTTTTACATCCTTTTATTAATTATTAACCTTTTTATTAATCCTTTTATTAGTTATTATTGAAATAAAACGTTTCCGCAAGATTCTTGTGGAGAAACCAAGGGCAATACTGCAGAGAAGGTTGAAAAGTGGCAGCACAGAAAAAGGCCCTACGGGAAAACATTGTTTATTAAAGAGAGAAAAGAGAAAGAAATCTATTCGGTATCTTTAAACGAAACAAGAAGCTGGTGAAAATGTACTGAAGTTTCTAATGCTAAGTACCCAGAGAAAAATGACAGTCGAATAGATATCTGATCGACGTCTTTTGTACGTCTAAAGCATCTGGGAAACCTCCAGTGTGCATTGCTTGCCATTTCTCGCTGAGTAGACTGCCCATCTAACCCCGATAAAAGTGAGCCTATCTATCCCGTTTGGAGAGTTCGCGTAAAGATGCGTGAAACGTAGTCTCGGTGACGAATTTTGAGATCAACTACGCAAATACGATGTTTTTTTTAGTCGTTTAAGCTCAGGTCTAATGTTGTAACTCAAAATAAACCGTATTGGCAAGGTCTTTTTCCGATCGTGTGAAACGCGTTCTGGAGGTTAATAGAAACATTGAACATTTATTTACTCACAATAACAGTGTTTTTGTGGATCATCAGGAAGAGACACACCTACTGCTTGTGGTACATCCAACTCACAACTGACCGATCAGCTCTGACGCCTAGCGTACATTAACAAAATTATGGCAATTGACCATCTCTATCCCGGACTTATCCTCTCTCTCTCTCTCTCTCTCTCTCTCTCTCTCTCTCTCTCTCTCTCTTTTTATCGGTACCTCTTAATTAAGTATGCAATCGCCGCATACGTGGAAACTCGCGCTCATTATTCTTTCACAGCGTCCCCGTTGCCGGTATTATTAGATGCGTTTTAAATTTACATATTTGCGAGAACTAACTCGGCCGCGCGCGCGCGCGCGCGCGTCGCTTCGAAGGACGACGAGAACGGAGTGTACACACATGTATGCATATAACGTGTACACTCGTGTATCTCGCGGCGATTTCTCCGCTGACAAATGCGACGGAGTGCTTAAAACGCGGCGATAGCGCCTGGTGAATCGGTCATTGTCCGGGCCTCACGCCGCTTGTTATCGCCGGGCTCGAATTCCATTCCGCAGCGCCGCAGAGCACGGCTCCCGACACCTCGGTTATCGTTTTTCCACTTTTCCGTCCTATTCTAGCAGCGTTTTCTAAATTTATACTCAGAGAGAGAGAGAGAGAGAGAGCACGTGACGCGGCCTTCGTGTGTGTGACGCAGATAGTGCAACGATTGTTCTTTGTTCAGCTCGATATCGGGGTCTGCTGCTTCTCGTTGGCTGTTGCGGACGTATATCGAATTTGCTGGCCCGCTTCTCCCCCCCTCCCCTCCTGCAGCGCACGCAGAGCGGAGAGAGCTCGTGTAATGGCCGAACGGAGTTTCATCGCAAACTCAGGCCGCGCGCTAATTTACTCTCACCTCTCTCGCGATCGCTCCCGACGCGCCGCGACGGTCCTTTTGTTTTCGCTACGCCGGAGCGAACAGCCGCGGCGGTTATTATTTTTATCCGCGTCCGTCTCTTCGTCGATCTCCCCGGCACGGCGGAGCACCCCCGTCTCCTATCTATGCGGGTCACGTGACGTGTCTGTAGGACGTGAGAGAGACCGTAGCCGTTGGCTCTCGTGAAGTTACATTCGATTAATTAAACTTCGTACTTCGGAGCTTCGCTTTGAGCAGCTTGAGAGCTTGAACGACGTTCCTCGTCCGTTTACGCACGAGTTAATTTTCTCAGCGCTCGCCTGCGAGGGGAGGGGGAGGGGCGATCGATTTTTTCTGTTCTTCTCGATCTTGTTCTTCGGTACTTCGTTCCGACATTGCCCAGTCGCGAAAATGTGGGATAGCATTTTTAGTAGCGCTTCAACTCTCTTCCGTTTCTTCACCTTCAGCGAGCGACACTTTGCCCGGAACATTTAACGCTCAGCTGCGAAGGTGCGATCGATATTTATTCCCCTCAATGTCGCGCAGTGTCTCGTTTCGGTTGCTTGATTGGGACAACACAGCAGTCTGATTTATATTTCAGCCCTTACTCTTTAAGCAGCCGCCTACGTGGACTTTGTCCTCGTTCGTTTACGCGTGAAAATTTTCTCAGCGCTCAACCTGCGAATCGATGGCGCGATCGATTTTCGCGCCGGTTTTTATCTTCCTCACTGCCGTCTCTTCTGCGTCTCGCTGCGGTCGCGAGCGTTTACTAATTTATATTTCAGCCCTTGCTTTAAGCAGCGCCGCCTACGTGGAATTTATTCGTTTACGTACATGAAATCCTCTCCAGCGTTCAGCCGCGAAGGTGCGATCGGGTTTCAATTCTTTCCAATGACGCGCTCAACATTTCGCTTGGAGATTCGACCGCTCGGACGAGAAGGGGGTAGCCATACCCGATCCCAAATTTCTCCCCTCTCGGGAGAACGGCCGCTTTAGCTTGTCGCTTCGATTGTTCGCTCGGAAACAAGGCGGCGTTTCTAATTCGTATTTCAAGGTACGCTTTAAGCGGCCGCGCGCGGATTGACTCGGTGTTCATCGGCTTATTCGCCCGGAGGTCTCCTCGCCGTTCATTCGCGAAGATGCGATCGATCTCTCTGCCGGCTTTTATTCTCTTCAATGTCGCCCGGCGCGGCGCGGCGTCTCGTCCGCTCTCTCGCTCGCTCGCTCGGCCGAAAACGGGCTAACGTTTCTAATTCGTCCGGATGCGGAGGTACGTGCCTGCGCAACAATAGACCGCCCTTTCAGCCGCCGTCCGTGCACAGCAAACAGCAACTTCTCGAGTTTCGCGAACAATACAGGTACCATCGTGATCGATACGCGCCCGCCGCACGTCCCTTTTTTTTTCTTCGGACCCTCACAATCGGAGCTGGTTAAAAAACACGCTGGAAGCGTCGCTCGCCTGTTTTGTGTTTTCAGGCACGACGAGGAGAACGCGCGCGTGCGCGCGCGCGCGCGCGCTGATGTAGATTTTAATTAGCGGCATCGTCAATAGAGCTCGGCTCGTCTTACCCCGAAAAAACGGACTCGTTATCTCGCGCCGTGTCGTCGTACAGGCAGCCAAGAGGAAGAAGAGGAAGAGGAGGAGCTGGGGGCTGCTCGATTTTCATTTAAACCTTTCTCTTTGGAGAAAGAGAGAGAGAGAGAGAGAGAGAGAGAGAGAGAGAGAGAGAGAGAGAGAGAGAGAGAGAGAGAGAGAGAGAGGGGAGGGTGAGAGAATCACGTGTTTTCCGACGTGCCCGCGCAACTCGTGTCTTTTATCGCCGTCGGCCATTTATCTCGCGCGAGATAATCCCGACGGGGCGGGGCTGCGAAACGCGCGCGCGAGCGCGAGATGTGATTTTTCGATATATAAATTAAACGCGTCACGCGTAATCCGGATGGAGCGGCGTGTTTCTTTGCGGCGAAGGTGCGCCGGCCGAGAATAACGGGCCGATCAGCAACAACAATAGCAACAAAACAATAACAGTGCGCGGCGCGGCGCGCGGAAGGACGACTTGCGCTGAAGGACGCGTCTCCGTTTGCTTTCCCTTTCAGAAATATTCCTTACGACGATGCCGACTACGTGGCGTTGAACGTAGCCGACGAGGAGGAGGAGACCTTGAGCGGCCCGGAGAAGGTGGACGAGCTTCAGGAGAGGTACCATCGGCCACGAAGAAAGCGCAAACGTAAACGACGCAAGGTCGAGCCCGTCGTCAGTCCGGAGGAGGAGTTCGTCGATCCCGAGGAGCTCCCCCCGCGCGCACGATGGACGATCGTCGCCACCGCTTGTCTTCTGCTCGCGATGTCCTTGCTCCTGGTCGGTGTCACGCTACGGATGGCGCCTATAATCGACGATATGGGTAGGTCGCTCGCTCGACAACGAGGCCTCTTCCGCTCCGCATTCTGACCGTGCGTGCAGCGCGAGGCGCTTGCGAGGACCTTGAGGCGTCCTCGAGGGCGCCTGTTGGCTCTTCCGTTAGAGAAGACGAATGCACGCTCTCTAAATTTCCTGCGGCGGAATCGCGGCTCAAGACACGCGAGTGACGCGTGAAAAGCGCGCGACGGTCCCGCTTCCAGCGCTCGAAATCGCAGGAACTCGGGGCGGATTTCAACTTCGCTGCGAATTCGACCGATCGGAGCAAATATGTTCCCGGTGGGGTACACTCGTTTGCAGGACACACAGCACATTGGTTTCCGCGCGTTTTCGGTGAAATGATCGTTATGAGCGAGACGCTGCTCGTGAGCAAAGTTGGGAAAGTTACTTTGCAAAAGTATCCAGTTACAGTTACAGCTTTTTTCACTGGAAAAGTAACTAATTACAGTCACGAGTTACTGACCTTCAAAAATAACATGTTACAGTTATAGTTATTTGGAAAGTAACGAGTCGTTACTTTTTAGTAACTTTTTTACAATAATTTTGTAAAAATTGCCTTATTTTGCTATTATTTTAAATTTCGTAATTGTGTAAATTTCTTCAATTTTACATAAAAGTAGTCTGTTGATTATTATATGAATGAATTTGAATAATAAATACTAAAAATACTAAAAATAATCTTAACATCAAAATTTTTCACTAAAACACATATTGATATTTTATTAAATAAAGACTTATATACTCTCATATGTTTTCTTAAATTTGAAGTCGAAGTTCTATACTTGCGTGAATAATTTTTTTGCCAGCGCAAGTTTTGTAGAGAAATGCCCGGTTGTTCTCGTTTCCAAATTTTTGCCGCAACTCGAATATTTCCGCATACGCTAGCATATAGCATTTTACAATTCTTCTTCGAAGATTGAGATGTTTTATCCATTGCTTGAATTTTATTTATATAACTGAAACCACGCAGCGCAGCGTTTCACGTTGAACGCAGGTTATATTAACAAATCAAGACTGGCGATGCACGACGGAAATGTTCAATAGGCGTACAATTTTTTTGAAAGAAATACGGGTTGTGTTCGGAGAGGAGACTATCAGCGACTTATTGCGTCATTTTATCCTTGTTTCACATCAAATGAACGACAAAGATAGGTGACGCAACAGCGCGTTTTCCAAATGCAGCCAGAATAACTGTACGCTTATTGGATATCAAGCATCGCACGTCGCGTTATCGTGTTGCTCTGCCAGAAACTTAAGTTTGAAATATATAAAGTAAAGTATTAAATTAGTTACTAGTTATCAAACAAACGCAACCAAGTTAAGTTACAGTTATAGATGAAAAAGAAAACGAAACGAAGTTAAGTTATAATTATTAAAAAAAAGAAATAATTGTAACTTCGTTACAAGTAACAAGTTAGTTCTCAATCCTGCTCGCGAGTCTTGCCGGTCATGGCAGGGGCCGAGGTGACGATGTTGAGGACACGAGCGGAGGATTCAAGAAAGAGATGATTGTCGCGGTTGAATTTTTGTCCGTCAGATACGAGCGGCCAATGTTTACACAGCGTGTGTCACTCGAGCTCTTGTCGTAATCGATACCACGCAAGCCCGTGAGCAACGCTTCACAATTGCGAGCGTTTCAAGTGTTCTTCGTTCCGTCGGAAAAATGGACACCGTTCTGCAAACGAGTGTACATACCGGGTACTCCGCTCTTCGATTTCGAGCTCGATGATATTCACTCGGCGATTCAGAGCGGAGAATTCGCTCCTCGCGAATGAAGAATCACTCGAATTCTCGAGTGACTCGCGGCGATCGCTCCACTTTTCGGGCGAGACCTCACTCTGGGAAATTTCGGAGGAGCAGTTTCGAGTTAGACGGTCGCGCACAGATTCAGCGGATATAAACGCGCGATCAGAATGCGCGTGCATCTCAAGTCGACTTCTTGAGATTGTTTCGCTCGCTTTTTGCGACATTTTCTCGCTTACGATCGCAAGTGTGATTTCGAGCGTACGCGTATCTTGAGGCTGTTTTTTCGACACGAGTTTCGTGAAATCCGTCAGAGGCAGCTCCGTGCTGTGACAAACCGCGCTCTTGTTCCGCGGCGACAAAATGCTCCGTTTATTTACGCGCTTCGCTATTTTTTACGGGCGTCCCGGAGTCGATACCGCCGTGTACTCGGAAATAACTAAATCCGCGCGCTCGCGTCCGCCGCCGGTGCCGACGGCGATGACGCTCGGATGGTGCGGAGCAGAAAATCATACCGGATTAGCGGCGCTGAAATATGTAAGACGGTCCCGTGGGAAGTAACCTCCGAATGAAGTCACTAGGCGTTAATGATTTAATGCGTGCCCCGCTATGCAATCCTGCCGCACAGGGCAAACGATATTGTCACTCGCGCGAGAGAGCGCGGATCCGATTAAGCGGCCCGTCAAGTTCTCATGAACTCAGATTTGATTAAGCTTCTTACCGTTTTCCCCGTGGCACTCTGCGCCGCTGTTTTTCTTCTCCGCTCGCCGTCGCCAATCTCAAACGGCAACAATCCCGCCGGTGCTGGTTCAGCACCGAACAAACCGCCGCTGCATTACCTACGCGATCGCGTCGAGACGATTAGAAAATTACATTATCGCTGGCCGAAACACGCAACACCTCGCCGAGAGTCGCTGCATCGAGCGTCTCGGCGGATTGAGCTAAATCACAACTATTAAAAAAAAAAGAAAAAAACAAGAAAAGAAGCACCTGGCCGAACTTCCGCGCTATTTCACGAGTTGAAATCCGCTCGGCGAAGCGCGGCTCCACGCCGCCCATCCGAGCGCCGTACAACGCGATTAAACCCCCACTTCGCTCGAGACCAATGTGAGAGAGGAGGAGGACGTCGTCGCGCAGAAATGCAGCGCAGCAATTAGCGCGTTGATCCCGACGATGATAATGGCCCGGAGAGCATCGTTAGCGGTTTCGCGGTGTCCCCGGCGCTTCCTTTCTAAATGCCGCGAAACCGCGTTTTCTCCGTAGACGCCGACCGGGGCGCTGTGCGCTTCCTCGCTCGACGTCCTCGCTCGACCCCCGTGCGGGGTCGAGGTTTCCCCCGAGGGCGCACGGCACGGCGAGAGGCAGGAAGGTCTTCACCAATTAACCGTTAAAGGCTAGGGTTGCATGCGGTGACGGCCGCCGGCACTTCTGCCGGTGGATCCTACGCGCAAGTACTTCTCCTCGCCCGGGCTTCTCCGTGCCGCGGTCTCACGTGCATGCAGCGACACACGTCGCCACACCCCGCTGTGGCGCGAACGAGCCGCATGCAGCGGCATGCGAGCGAGAGAGAGAGAGAGAGAAAGAGAGAGAGAGCGCGAGTGAGTGAGGTCGAGGGCGCTCCGCGGCTCTAAATTAAAGGCGCGCGTCTGCGAATCCTCCAGTCAGCCGTCGGATTTCCGTGGCGGCGGCGCCTTCAAGTTCGCTCTGTGCTCGCTCTCGGGGAGACTCGTTCGCGGGAGTGTGCCAAGTCGACGACGTGCGTGCGAAGCTCGTGCTCGTTGATCAGCGATCGTGGCGGGTGAGGACGCGCTCTCTCCGCGACCTCGGCGAGCCGTCCCGGTGTGACCTTTCCGCCGGCGTTCCGATAGGAAGCGCCACGCGAGAAATGGGATTAAAGTTTCAGCCGGCCTTCGCGTTTCCGGTGCTCGCGATGTGAAGTCGTCGGAGAGAGAGAGAGAGAGAGAGAGAGAGAGAGAGAGAGAGAGAGAGAGAGAGAGATCTCCGGGAGTTAACTCGCTTCTCCCCTCGAGGGGAAACAATTTCCTCAACTCCTGCGCTGCGGAGCAAGGCGGAGAGACAAAGAGTGAGAGAGAGGGAGGGAAGGAGCAGTAAGGCAAAAAATAAAACCGCTTTCGCCGGCGAGAAAAGCGACGGGATCTTCGCGCTGGGAAGTTCGCCGTTAAATCGCCGTTAAGTCGCGCCGGCGATTACGCCAGCGAGGAAATGAGCGCGTATCCTGGAGCAGAGATTAGTCATCGTGAAAATGGATTTCTCTCCCTCGATAATTCCGGACGTCGAAAGTTCAAACGCTCGCGGAATAACGCGCCGCGGGATTGTCGCGCGCGGTTGTAAATTCCCGGCGAAAGAGCCGCATTAAATCCCGATCATCCCGGCGAACGTTTCTCGCGACGCGAGAAACCCAAGTCTGTATTCGCCAGCGGTACTCCCTGCTGCTCCGCGAGTGCGTTGCGTGTAGTTTATTTAAATTCGCGAAGCGGTTAAACATATTGATAAATCTGCATCTATGCGACTGGCTGGCCGCCAGCGTGCTGGCGGGCGCGCGATATCCGTTTCCGATACGAATACGTCAAAGTGCGAATGACGTTGCACGAATACACGGCGATGCACGCGAAATCAACAAGTCCAAGTCGATATTCGGCGGCCGGCCGACGACGATAAAAGCGGTGTGTGTGGAAGCGGTTGTTATCGTGCACGGCGATTCGGAAACACGATTCGCGGCGGCATCGATGCGGCTCGATAGGATCGTCGATCTCCTCGTCCGCTGATTACTCCCGAGGCGCCCGATGATCCCCAACATTGCGCGAGCTGCACCGAATTTGGAAGAAATAAGGGCCGACTGGACCTGGTTTCTGCGCGCAAAGACCATCCGCGAGACACGGCACTCTCCCCCCGTGAGCTTTTAAATTCGCCCCTCGGTATTTCCGCACGACCTCCGCGTTCGCGTCGTCGTGGAAATATTCCGCTCGGACGGGACATTAATCATCGCGCGATTTCTGTAAATTCTTTCTCCGCGGCGTATATCGCGGCGAGGATCTTCAACTATACATAACTAGACTACACGTAACGTGTAGTCTAGTTATAATCTTCTGGAGGAACTAATTTTCCGAGACTTTCGAAGATTTTCCGTGGTTTTCACTGTTTTCACTGAAACTCCGAGTCCAGCTTGGGTTTGCGATCGCGATTTGTGAGTGTATTTATCGTGTGTATACGCGAAAAGCGCTT